GTAGTAGTAGTAGTAGTAGTAGTAGTAGTAGTAGTAGTAGTAGTAGTAGTAGTAGTAGTAGTAGTAGTAGTAGTAGTAGTAGTAGTAGTAGTAGTAGTAGTAGTAGTAGTAGTAGTAGTAGTAGTAGTAGTAGTAGTAGTAGTAGTAGTAGTAGTAGTAGTAGTAGTAGTAGTAGTAGTAGTAGTAGTAGTAGTAGTAGTAGTAGTAGTAGTAGTAGTAGTAGTAGTAGTAGTAGTAGTAGTAGTAGTAGTAGTAGTAGTAGTAGTAGTAGTAGTAGTAGTAGTAGTAGTAGTAGTAGTAGTAGTAGTAGTAGTAGTAGTAGTAGTAGTAGTAGTAGTAGTAGTAGTAGTAGTAGTAGTAGTAGTAGTAGTAGTAGTAGTAGTAGTAGTAGTAGTAGTAGTAGTAGTAGTAGTAGTAGTAGTAGTAGTAGTAGTAGTAGTAGTAGTAGTAGTAGTAGTAGTAGTAGTAGTAGTAGTAGTAGTAGTAGTAGTAGTAGTAGTAGTAGTAGTAGTAGTAGTAGTAGTAGTAGTAGTAGTAGTAGTAGTAGTAGTAGTAGTAGTAGTAGTAGTAGTAGTAGTAGTAGTAGTAGTAGTAGTAGTAGTAGTAGTAGTAGTAGTAGTAGTAGTAGTAGTAGTAGTAGTAGTAGTAGTAGTAGTAGTAGTAGTAGTAGTAGTAGTAGTAGTAGTAGTAGTAGTAGTAGTAGTAGTAGTAGTAGTAGTAGTAGTAGTAGTAGTAGTAGTAGTAGTAGTAGTAGTAGTAGTAGTAGTAGTAGTAGTAGTAGTAGTAGTAGTAGTAGTAGTAGTAGTAGTAGTAGTAGTAGTAGTAGTAGTAGTAGTAGTAGTAGTAGTAGTAGTAGTAGTAGTAGTAGTAGTAGTAGTAGTAGTAGTAGTAGTAGTAGTAGTAGTAGTAGTAGTAGTAGTAGTAGTAGTAGTAGTAGTAGTAGTAGTAGTAGTAGTAGTAGTAGTAGTAGTAGTAGTAGTAGTAGTAGTAGTAGTAGTAGTAGTAGTAGTAGTAGTAGTAGTAGTAGTAGTAGTAGTAGTAGTAGTAGTAGTAGTAGTAGTAGTAGTAGTAGTAGTAGTAGTAGTAGTAGTAGTAGTAGTAGTAGTAGTAGTAGTAGTAGTAGTAGTAGTAGTAGTAGTAGTAGTAGTAGTAGTAGTAGTAGTAGTAGTAGTAGTAGTAGTAGTAGTAGTAGTAGTAGTAGTAGTAGTAGTAGTAGTAGTAGTAGTAGTAGTAGTAGTAGTAGTAGTAGTAGTAGTAGTAGTAGTAGTAGTAGTAGTAGTAGTAGTGCGGCTCATAGAGTGCGGATGGAGATTTTGCTCCTCCGCAGTTTTTTAATTGTTTTATGCACTGTCCAGGTCAACCGGTTGTTTATCCTACGTCATTACTTTCGTCTAGGTTTCAGGAGTCGGCTCCAGTAGTTTTTACCGCTGTGGAGTTGCCCAGTCTGCTATCCCTACATCCAGCTGGTGTCGTATTGCCTGGCGAACCGGCCATTGTGCTGTAGTTTCGGTGCCTTCGCCTTTGGGCCGTGGGTGAGATGGCTTGCTGTGTTGTGCTTCGCGGCTGAGTCACAGTGAGTGTTTTCCCACATGGTCTGTGGCGAGTGACATGCGAGGAGCTCTTCACACCTCGCGTCTCTTTGCCCGTGCTGCAGGCTGCATGGCATGTCACGGCGTGGGGCGTCGGCTGGGCCCTGTTGCTCCTGCAGCAAGAAAACTGGAACGTGCGGAGCATGTTCGTGCAATAGGGATGGACGATGCTGTTTCAATTGCTACCCAGGTCAAGTTGGGCGCTGCAAGAATTTTGGAAATTTGGACTTGCATGATGTTGGTGGATCAGAGGTGCCTCAAGGCCTTTCTGCTGGTGATCCGCCGGCCTGGAGTGGACGAAGAGTGCAGCCTTCTCGATCGGGTGAGTCCGCTGCTGGCCGGACCGGTGGTGTGCCTCGCGACGTACGGGCGACTTTGGTATCCAGGCCCCCGTCATCGGCCGCCGAACGCTCGGGTGCGGCACCGGCGCCTGAGGGCGCTGGATCTTCCCAATCTTCTGTGTCTGCGACTGCGGTTCCGTGTGGGGAGTCACTACGGGTGGACTTGCCTGTTCCTGTGTGCTCCGGGATGGTTCCTGATTGCGCTGCCGCCCCTTCGCCCGTGGGTGCTTCTGCTGACCCCACTGCAGCTTCCCGGGTACCTGCGTCTGCAGCGCCGACCTCTGTGGGTCCCGGCTCGTCTCGACAGCCTCAGTTTGTTGATCTGCCACCCGAGAAATGTGATTCTCCAGAACCTGATGGCTTTTGGTCGTTGCCAACAGACGATATAATCATTTTAATGGACAAAACCCATGCAGAAATAGTCAAGTGGCAACGGAATCTATTTATCATACCTTTCGGGGATGAGGGTCGTCGGTTCGTCAAAGAACTAGCTCGCCTGATTGGTCTTTTCAGCGGCGGAACTCGCGACGGAGCTTTTGCATGGTCGGCTGTGGTCATTGCTTGCCATCTGATTTTGCAGCGGCCTTTTGTAGTATCCAATGCCTCTGACAACAAGAAATCGTTACGCAAGCGTCTTGACTGGTGGATGTGCGGAGACATGGCGGCATTGCTGCGTGAGGCACGGTGCATTCAAGCCCATCTACCCAGATCAACACCTGGCAAAACAGCAGCTAATGGTCTGGATGACGTCGAGTTCGCAAAAATGGTATACAGCGACCGCATTGGAACAGCTGCTCACTACCTGGAGGATGATGGTGGTGGTGGCGTACTCCCGTTGGACAAGATTGTGGGTGGCAAGTCGGTACTGGAATTGTTGAGAGACAAGCATCCTGTTCCGGCTGATGCAGAACCAGAGATTCTACTCGATGATGAAGCCACAGTCCAGGAGAACGTGCTGTTTGATTCGATAACACCAGCTCAAATCCGCAAGACCTGCATGATTATGAAGGGGGCAGCGGGTCCGTCAGGCCTTGACTCCGCTGCCTGGCGTCGGATGGCCTCAATGTATACATCAGCTTCTGACGACCTGTGCTCGGCTCTGGCTCGTGCTGCCAAGCGTCTTTGCACTGAGGCAATTGAGCCGCGGGATCTCCGCTCATTCCTGGCAGCAAGGCTCATTCCATTGGATAAGCAGCCTGGGGTAAGGCCTATAGCCATCGGGGAGGTGTTTCGCCGCGTGATCGGGAAAGTGGTCATGTCGGTTATCGAGAGGGATGTGGCTGCGGTTACTGCTCCTCATCAGCTGTGCGTCGGCGTCCCGTCGGCTTGCGAGGTCGGGGTGCAGGCTTTGACCGGCCTCTATGACCGCGAGACGACTCAAGGTATTCTGCTGGTGGATGCGTCCAACGCCTTCAATTCTCTGAACAGGGCCGCGGCGCTGCACAACATTCCAAGAATCTGTCCTGCCGCTGGGCGAATTTTCATTAACACCTACCAGGCCGACATCCCTCTATACCTCAATGGCGGAGAGGTCATTTATTCCCGGGAGGGTACATGCCAAGGGGATCCTCTTGCCATGGCGTTCTACGCTCTCGCGACTGTGCCCCTGGCATCTCGGCTGTCGCGTCGACTTCCAAGCACCAGCCAGATTTGGTACGCGGATGACGATGCCGCAGCCGGAGAGCTCCTGCCGCTGCGTGGGTATTGGGATTGCATCGTGGAGGAGGGGCCCCGGTATGGCTACCACCCCAATGCCATGAAGACGGTTTTACTCGTCCGTCCACATTTAATGGAAAGGGCCCAGGAGATATTTGCCGGCACTGATGTCCGTATCCGGAGCGACGGCGTTCGTTACCTTGGCGGGGCCATTGGAGACCAACAGTTCCGAGAGAATTTTGTGAAGAGCCGTGTTGAGGAACTGTCCACATTGGTTAGGCGCCTTGCTGATCTGGCTGTCACCCAGCCTCAGGCGGCCTTTCGCGTCTTCTCTGCCTCTCTGCAGTCCCGTTGGACCTATCTGCAGCGTGCAGTCTTTGTGGACCCTGTCCTGTATACGCCACTGGATGACGTCATCAACAAACATCTGCTGCCAGCATTGACAGGCCATCCTCTTGCGGCTGATGGTGTACTCCGTCAGCTCTTTGCAATGCCTGTGAGGAATGGAGGGCTGGCTATCCGCATTGGCAGTTTGCGTGCGGAGGCTGAGTACCTCCTTTGCCGGACGTCGATAATGCCCATGGTGGATTGCGTGCTGACTGGTGCTGTCGATGGTCCTGATGCTATCGACGGTCCTGTTG